AGGCTTAACCCATTCATAAACATAGCAGTTTCTCTGAAACTGCTATGTTTATAAAAAAATGGGTTAACCCTAGCTGGACCTGGCACCCAGACCACTTCATTAAGCTGAAGTGGTCTGGGTGCCTAGAGTGGTCCTTTAATGCAATTATATCCAGTGATGCATCTTAATTAACCCTTGCTTCTAAGATATTTGAAATCAAGACATCTTGAAAAGGGCAGAAAACAGTGGGCAAGCTACCTATTTAGGGCAGGTGGTGGGGTAGGATATATAATATTTTTATTAACCAGAATACACTTTGATCCATACACCCACAAGAACAAAATATGTTTAGATTCATGGTATCTTTAAAAACCAGGGTAGAGAACTGCATTCTGTCGGTGCTCAACTGTTAATAGGTTAACATTGGAGAAGACACACTAAAATGATTTTGAAAGGAGGTCACAATTATTAATGACTGAATTACCATGAATACAAAAGAGCAACTGTCATTCATCATCTAATTTTATGCAAATTATGTTAAAATCAGAAACATGATTACAATAACAACGCAAAGCTAAATTACTAAATGTTTGCCTGATATATGAGATATGGATCTTAATAAAATAGGGAGGCCTTGTCTGTTTGCTCTATTTTTATTTTCTTGTGACCACCCTCCTCTGTTGATACATTTTGTGTCTGCGTTCCATTTAAAAATGAAGTGAAAATTTAAGCCACAATCCAGCTACACCATTAATATGAGAATGTGAACTTTTCTAGCCACTTGAAACCATTGATAGATATAGTCTTGGAAACTCAGAGCCAAACAAATGTTCTCTATATATTCAATGTTTCCCATTCTGCCGTCCAAACATTGCAATAAAATGCTTAAGATTTTTTTAAAGTAGGCATGAAGCATCACATAAGGAAAAAAGAGGGATGGCACAGCGCTATCCAAACTGATCACAACAGGGAGGGGGAGGCTGCACACCTGAAAGGAAGGGTAACCCTCAAAACCCTTCAAAGGACTGGAAAAACAGAAAACAACAAGTACAGGGTGCGCCAAGAACAAAGTGAATAAATAAAATAAATAATAGAAAAAAATACCAGGGAAACAGGCAAATTAAAGTCTCTAATTCACAGGTATATTCAGAAATTCTCAAAGCGTCTTGGGTCAAATCCTCATCAGCATATATGAAAGAAAAAACACACACAGAGGGGACCAATGGTGCAGTAACTTAAAGGAATATGGCCACAGACAACACTGAGGTTAAGAAATGCCAACTCACATTTATGGGAGCTATAACCAGCTCGAGTTAAAACAGCATACAGTGGTATTTAAATTCCCCACATGTAGGATATTTCTCTGACGATATTTTCAGTGCAGGTCATATGAAATAAAAACACAAGAGAAGGCCCATAGTGCTCTCTATATTAAAAAAAGTGCTTGATAAAATAGGAGATGTACTTACAATTTACAGAGCAGACAAAGTGCTCTGTGTAAAGTGCCTGGGTGGAACAAACCCCACCATGGATTCTTTGGATGGTATAAAAGCTTCAGATGTTGGGATATACCAGGTAAAAAAAAATTAGGATAAATATAAAAAGTATTTCAAATTAAAGAGACTAACCAAAATATAAGTGTACATCTTGAAGAAGCCCTTTGTGGCGAAATGCGTTGTGTTTTAATCTGAATAAAAGTATATTTTTTTCTGACTACCTAATATTTTGGGTAGTCTTTTTAATTTTAAATACTTTTATATTTATCCTAAAAAATTTTTTACCTGGCATATCCTAACATCTGAAGCTTCTATACCATCCAAAGAATCCATGGTAGGGATTGTTCCACCCAGGAGCTTTACACAGAGCGGTTTGTCTGCTCTGTAAATTGTAAGTACATCGCCAATTTTATCCAGCACTTTTTAATATAGAGAGCACTATGGGCCTTCTCTTGTGTTTTTATTTCATATGACTTGCACTGAAAATATCGTCTGAGGAATATCCTACATGTGGGGAGTTTAAATACCACTGTATGCGGTTTTAACTCGAGCTGGTTATAGCTCCCATAAATGTGAGTTGGCATTTCTTAACCTCAGTGTTGTCTGTGGCCATACTCCTTTAAGTTACTGCACCATTGGTCCCCTCTGTGTGTTTTTTTCTTTCATATATGCTGATGAGGATTTCACCCAAGACGCTTTGAGAATTTCTGAAGAACATACCTGTGAATTAGAGACTTTAATTTGCCTGTTTCCCTGGTATTTTTTTCAATTATTTATTTTATTTATTCACTTTGTTCTTGGCTCACCCTGTACTTGTTGTTTTATGAAGCATCACATGACTATTGTTTAATGGGTGATAGTGTCCCTTGAAAAAAAAAGCCTTATTAAAGATGCACTAAGAGAGCCAAACGTTAACCATATCATTTCTAAGTATTCCTCCTGTTAAAGGCTATAAGGTTTATTTACTAACCACGGAGTAGATAACAGGGTTACATCATTTCTAAATTTAGATGTATTTCTTTTTTTTTTAAATATAGATTTTTTCTTTTCCTAGTATGCACTGCTAATTTTAGAAAAACAAAAAATACAAAAAGCAAAATACAACCCCTTTGTTATATCCAAACATAATTTAAACATCTAATTGTATATGGATTATGCTTGCCATCAGCATATAAAATGTAATCCAAAAACTATATTAATAATTTGCAAAAAAATAAAATAAAATATAAAACAATAATAATTTTAAACCCTAAACTTTTTTTTTTTTCTTGCATGCAACTCTGCATATTAGAACATAAACTGTAATTAGGCTCAATAAAAGGACAACGGCTACAGCTGTGTACCATACATTTTTAGACTGCTATAACAAAGACACATTTGGATAATTTTGTTTAAAGATCTGAAATGCACCACTTTTGTAATCAAAACTCACCAATACCGTCTCAGATGGATGAGTAGAATTACTCTTAATATATGGCAGACCTACTGGAACTGCTATCAATTTATACACAGCAGTTTAGTTAACCAAACTGTGTGCAGAGATCGATAGAATGCATATTTGGCCCTGAAAGAAGACTCAGTTTAAGGTATGTGCACCTGTATTCTGCACACACAACTTGGACAAAATTTACAAAGACAGCATAGAACAGAGAGCTATAGCTGCCTGGAGAGGCTGCCTTTTATAAATCACTCCAGCTATATTACATGTATGAGAGTGGGCACAGTATGTCTACTGTACCATTAATAATTTTGATAACGTCAAGTTGTTATAGTTTTATGAGTGACTCTTCGTCAAATTTGTAGACTAAAAAGTTTGGGAGATGTTAAATTAGTTCTCACCTGCCACTCCTTGCACCAGTGCCTCCATTCTTAATGGGTATATGGGTGTTACAATATTGTAACACCCACCCCGCACTGCAATCCCTTTTATGCTGCGCTTATCCCTGCTTGGGGACATTTCCTAAAGGCCATGCTTGGTAACTGACTGGCTGGTGGGGTAGGTGCCAACACCTAAATTATAATATTAATAATAATCATTTGGTAGTATTACGGCTAGCTCAAAATATAGATGAAACGGAATCCACTTAAATCAATCCAAGTTGTACGTACCATGACACGCACATTTTAAGAACATATGAGGATGTAGGTTACAATATAATGTGAAGCTCCTCAACTTGAATTCTGAATATCTGGATGCAAACATTTGCACCAGAATGAAGAACCCTTATATAAAGGTAACCCGAGTAAACAGCCCTTCTGAAACGTAATTAATCCACCACTTGTTCTATTCTTCCATAAATGGTACGCTATAGTATATTTATTATCTGATCTTTAGATTTTATTGGTATGTTATTTTTTCTTTTACTGTTTTTTTCCTTACATTTCCTTTTACTCTTTTTTTTCCCATAATACATTATTAAATAGATATAGCAAGACGGTAATTTAGGATTCATGTTTAATCCTTCAAACATACTTATTAATGCAGTTGACCCAAAAAACAATTTAAAGCATATGGATGTCATTACTTTTAATGTTTGTATTACACAGCTCCATTTCTTTGGTTAAACAAATAATACAAAACAATACAATCCTTTTTAAATGGAGTTTGATAGAACAACGTTTGTGTCCAGTGAACTCCATTTCCTTATTATTTTTGTTTTGTAAAGAACCCTTAGGGTGTACATCAAATACTTTATTGTGCTTTATATAGAACACTAGTCAATTTCAGACAATCCAGCATTTATTCAGTTTGATTGAGCACTAGACTCTCATTCAAAATAATGCTATAAAAAAAGGGAATTTCAAAGCACAACCTCAAAAACCATTTACGGTTTATACAAAATACTAAAAGTGATTTAATGCAAACCATCAAGAAAACGATGTGCTAGCTTGGAACAACATCCATATCACCTTCTTAACAAAACTCAGGCTATTTAGAGAGCTTATTGGCTTAGCACTATTCTTGAACACTTTGCAAGCATTCCATGTACTTCTAAATTCTAGATTATCATCCTGATCTCCTTTATTCTGGATTATTGGATTTGCCAGTCCATTGTTCCTGTATTCTGTAAACCTGACCCCTGTCTAGTTCCATGGCTAGAAATGGTGCTTGCCTGTGGTCATAATCTTGAACTTGTCTTTATTTCTCTTTGGCTTCCTTTAATAACGGCACATTGTTAAAGTATTAAATTCCACATAACTCTTTCAATCACTCTAGTACAGATGGGTCATTATCTCATCTGTCCATAATACTTTGCTGCAGAACTCTACATACTATATATCCTGGCGGCATGCAATCAATTAAGATAGGCATTGTTGATATCAAGATGAGTGGTGATGGTTTATATACAGTTTATGAAATAAAATATATTAAACCACATTTACTGTCTATTACTGTTTATTGTTCATTATATAAAATGATTTGGATTTAATGTTACTTTCACATATAAAATCACATTATCTTTGGCAGAATAAACAGTAGCCTTGAGTCACTCAAGTCACAGTTAAAAAACAAACAAAAAAGAAATGGGGGGTAGAGGGGGCTTAACCGCGGAACGAAGCAGGCGCCATTTTCCGCAGCTCCGACGGCGCTCTGCACAATCCGCCGAAAATCACAATATATCCAGCCCATCCAACCAAACCAACATAAGCATCCACACACAGACGTCCACCGGTGTCGGCACATGCCGTTCTTTGCAAACAAAACCGGCGACGGAAAAAGACCACGGCCTACCATCTCCCTGCACGCCTGGAAGACCTATTGGGGTGCATCCCCCTCCAGAGAGAGTGGGACTGGAGCACAGAACACCCCTCACCAGCAAATCCACCCTCAACCATGGGGAGACGCTCCCAGAAACCTCAGCCAAGTACACCAAGCGAATCCTAAGACATTGGGGCTCTTTTGCAAAGCCAGGCCCAGCCCAAAATGGTGGCCCCAGTATACCAGGAGGTCCCTGTCTACCCTCAGACCCAAACACCTGACTCCCCTCAAGCTCACACCCTACCACAAGCAGCAGAGATAACAGCTGCAGGCTTTCCTGATCTAACAGCTCTGGCCACCAAGCAGGACATTAAAAACGACCTCACCGAATTTCGCCAGACACTAGCCACAGACATAGCAGTCATCCAGGCTGACCTACAGGTGGTTACAGACAGGGTGAGAGCCACTGAAGAGGACATCTTTGCAAAATGTCCAAAAGACGCAACAAGCTTTCTCCACGTACCTTGCCACGCTGGAGGACCACTCCAGACGTAATAACCTGAAGATAAGAGGGGTGCCTGAGTCTGTCACCATGGCAGAATTGCCCCACTACCTGAGATGACTAATGGCCTCACTACTGCCACCGCCACAAGCCAAAAAGCTTGCATTTGATAGCATGTTTCGCCTACCAAAATCACCAAGGGCCCCAACAACTGCAGTAAGTGACATCATAGTCCGCTGCGCTCTAGCCCAAGACAAACGGGCACTCCTTTCAGATCTACGAAACCAAACACCTTAAACATTTGAGGGTGCTGAATTATCCTTCTAACAGGACCTATCAAGGTCCACCTTGCAATGGCGCAAAACACTCCTCCAAGCTACGAGCCAACTGAGAAACGCGGGAATACTATACCAATGGACCACACTACGAGCTCTCACGGTGAACCACAATGGGACAAGTCACAAGATCACCTCAGCTGAAGAGGCACCGGCATTGCTGCGGGCACTGGGACTGTCTGCCCCTGGCGAGGAGTCAAGAAACAGGAGGGGAACACTAACCTGGGACCCAGCCACAGTAATCGCCTTCACCCCACGAGACCACATGACTACAGGCACTGGGACATGACTGGGCTCAGAACCCAACAGGCAAAGGGCAGCTATGGACTGCACCCATTCCACAATTTTTTACTCTTGTTTTGTTAGCTCTTTTTGCTTTTTGTTTTGCCTCTGGCTAGCCATGGGTACCAAACCCAGAATTCCCTCCTTGCTTAAAAGCTGGCAAATGTCTGTCCTCCATATGAGGCCTTACAAAGAGGGGTAATAACACACAAGATAGGAATAGGGCAAGATACCCACCACGACCCCATCTACCCCCCCGCCCACTCCGCAGCCCCCCTGGTTAGGGGCACTAACAACTAAAAATGACCCGATCTCTATTAGCCGCAACTATTATATACACTAAACCAGAACACCTGCTCAAAACCTGAGGCACTAGCTGACACTCACACTCATGTACTTCAGCTCACGGCAAGCTACACAACACCTGAATGACAGTAGCAATTTTATTTGTTCTAGTTTAGAGCTGTTCAACTCAGCCCTCAATCACTTCTACCTAGCTCCTATACAGGCATCACATACCCACAAGCACAGGTCGCAGGGCGTTGTCCCTAGTCTGGACATAAAGCAGTAGGCCAGCGCTCACTAGATTGACACGCAAATTCCAGAGGAGCACCTCAGTCCAAGCGGTACTTAAGCCTAGTTTTACATGCTATAGCATACTATATCATAGCACTGGGTACCCTCGATAAAAACCAAAAAAGTTTACTATTGTTATATTTGTGAAATATCTGGTTCAAGCCAGGATTCCTGGCCTACTGCTTTATGTATAAAAAATAAAAATGGTGCAACTTTTTCAACATGCTCTGTACACGCAAACTACTTTTATTGCATTATCAGTCAATGTCACGTCTTTACTTGCATATGTTCTTTTCCTTGCACCACAAAAATAAAGAATTATAAAAAAAAAATGTGAAACTACATGCACTACAACAAAACAACAACAGTAAACTTTTTTTAAAAAGGTGGATTTATTGTAAACTTCTATATAAAGGAAAGTGACAATGCAGGTGGTAATTACAAAGGCACACAATTTGTATGCAGCAGTACACAGAGTGTGTAATTATAGCGAAATGATTGCAGGGCTTTAATGTGCTGTTATGCTGAAGTCGCTTGAACAATTATTCCCGTAATTATAGATCAGGGACACAGCACTGATACATTTTATATGAAGATGTACAAAGTAGCATAATCTTACCATGTGACCATTTAAATACTGTCCTTTTAATACTTTTTTAAAACTAGCACTTCAGGTATTTCTATAATGAGTAATAGAATTACATACGCTTAAATGGCTTCAAACAGGCTTATTACCAAATAAGTAGTAGTCAAGTAAAGGAGCACAGCTGGCTTAAAATACAATGTTTTACATTTAAAATTTAAAGTGCACCTGCCACGACCAACAATGTGTGGAGTCAACTTTAAAGACAATACAATTGATATAGTTTAATATCTTGACATTTTAGGCTTTACTGTTATGCTGTTGGCACGCCATCGGCAGGGCAGTAAAGACTACTAACTTGAAGGATAGCCTCTACAACTGGTCCAGGAGACCATGTCGGCTAGGGAGAAAGAGGAACTGCGGGCAAATTATATAGTTTTTTAAGTTAAACAACTGCTAGAGATTTCAACCAGTAGAGTATATAAAATGAATGTATGCCTATCTGAAGATTAACTTTTCATCCACATTATTTTTAGATGACAGATTTACTTTAAAGGGACACTCCAGGCAACAATACAAGTTTAAGTCATTGGATAGATTGTTACATCATTAATATGCTGTAATTTGTGCATGCTCAAATCTTTATCCTTTTTGCACAAACAAATACATGTTTTGTAGACTTCTGCACCATAAGCCTGCCTCCTTAGTCATACACCTCATGCCAGAGAGACTTCCTAATCAAAAGGTATGAATACCTTTGATAAGGAAGTCTTTATGAATACCTTTGATAAGGAAGTCTTTTTTTTTTTTTGAGTGAGTGAGCGAGTGTGGCTAAAGAGGCAGGCTTATGGTGAAGCATTCTGCAAAACATTTATTTATTTATTTATTTAAAGGGACACTATAGTCACCCAGACCACTTCAGCTCAATGAAGTGGTCTGGGTGCCAGGTCCCCAGGTTTTAACCCTTCAGATGTAAACATAGTAGTTTCAGAGAAACTGCTATGTTGACATTGCAGAGTTAATCCAACCTACAGTGGCTGTCTTCCTGACAGCCGCTAGAGGCGCTTCTGCAACGCTGGATACAAAATTTGCATCCAGCGTGCAGAACGTCCATAGGAAAACATTGCCCATTCCGCTCCCCTCGGGAGCTGACGTCGGAGGAGGAGGAGAGGTCACCAGCGCTGAGGGAGCCCGGCGCTGGATAAAGGTAAGTGGCTGAAGGGGTTTTAACCCCTTCAGCGCCAATGGAGGGGGGCCCTGAGGGTGGGGAGTCCTAAGGATGCTAATGTTTGTTTTCCTGACACTATAGTGATCTTTTAATGCAAAAACTATAAAGATTTGAGCGTGCAAAAAAAATACAACATTTTAATGAAGCCAAAACCTACCAAATGCATTAAAGTAATATTGGTGTTTGGAGTGTAAGGTGCATCTATTGCACATGCATTAGTGTTACACAGAATGAAGTCAATTTACTGCCCGGCATATTTCTTAGTTATAGATTTATTGCTAGAGTCCAGCCTTTAGAGCAATGCTGTATTCTGCGGAGTATCGCAAGGTGAATTTCAAATATGAGTCACCACATTTGGCGTATGTTTTGTACATTAACTCTGCACTTCACAAATATAATCTGCAAAAAAATACACAGAGATAAGGGGGAATGATTCTCCCAATCAGGAGTTTCTCAGCGTTTACCTACTGGTATCAAACACAGTAAAAGCTAAGCAAGGCTGCATAAAACAGTGTTGCTGTCTGTGGCCATAACTCCTTCCTTACCTCCACTGTAAATAGAACGCTCCCAGCACCCCCCACTAAAAGAAGCAGCTTGCTTATTCTATTCATTGCTAGGCAGTGGATAAGCGATGGAATGATCAAAGTTCCCAGGTACCACCTAAATAAACATGAATGCCACACTGACTAGTACCCCTATCTTTCCCACACTGCCTGCATGGTGAGAAGAGAAATGGTTAAATGTGTAAAGGTCCAAGAACATTTAATACCACCTTCACCACTGTAAGGGGAAAGCATCCAGAGAAAATTACCATCTGTACGTTACTTATTTTTTACTCTACTGGTGTATATAGTAACGTCACATTTTTCCCTTCAAAGACATAACTTAAAATAACTCATGTAAAACTGCCCATAGAGGACCTAAACATGAAACAGTGAGAACAAATCTGTCCCGCATTAGGATCTGGACACATCCCTTGAGCATGCTCATGTTCACTACCCAGGGCGTGTGCAGTGCAGATTGGTAGTCACCTGCCATATTTATGACAAAAACTGACATCATGATACTAGACTGAGTCATATGTGTAAACATGAACGCACAAAAATATAAAATAGATGACCATCTTAGAGTTCTGCAAAGACACCTGGATATCTCTGCATTCACTAGGTAAGGAAGAGACTTATCATTCAAAAGTACTTCAAATGCTGCAAAAACAGCCGGTATGCCTTCCAGGCAGCCACATGAGGTCTAGCATTGTCTTGCATTAGGAGGAACCCAGGGCCAACCGCACCAGCATTTGGTCTCACAAGGGGTCTGAGGATCTCATCTCGGTACCTAATGGCAGTCAGGCTACCTCTGGTGAGCACATGGAGGGCTGTGCGGTCCCCCAAAGAAATGCCACGCCACACCATTACTTACCCACTGCCAAACGGGTCATGCTGGAGCATGTTGCAGGCAGCAGAACATTC